ACCCGAGAAGCTTGCCCGCAGGTACACCGAACACGCACTTATCGGGGTTCAGCTTTATGCGGGCGGAGCGGAGACTCTCGAAAGTTTCCGCCAGATCTGAAAGTAAAGTTTCTCGGTCGCGCGTCTTCACAACCAAGTCATCGACATAAGCCTCAACATTACGTCCTATTTGGCTACCCAAAGAAATTCGAGTAGTACGTTGAAAAGTAGGACCTGCATTCTTTAACCCGAAGGGCATTGTCGTATAACAATAAGTTGCTATGGGGGTAATGAACGCAGTTTTTTCCTCATCCTCCCTAGCCATGCGAATCTGATGGTAACCAGAGTATGCATCTAGAAAACACAAAAGGTCGCACCCCGCTGTGGAGTCGACAATCTGATCTATGCGAGGCAGGGGGTAAGGGTCCTTAGGACATGCCTTGTTAAGGTCGGTGTAGTCGATGCACATCTGAAGCTTGCCGTTCGCCTTGGGAACGACCACCGGGTTCGCCAGCCACTCCGGATGGATGACCTCGCGGATGAATCCGGCCTCCAGAAGTCGCGCCACCTCCTCGCGGATGAAAGCTTGACGTTCCGGGGCCTGCCGCCGCACTTTCTGCCGGACCGGCTTTGCGCCCGGCCGCACGGCGAGACGGTGCTCAATCACCTCCCTGGGGACCCCGGGCATATCCGCCGGTCTCCATGCGAAGACGTCAGCGTTTGCCTGCAGGAAGGAGACGAGCGCGTCTTCCTATTTGCCATCCAGAAGACCACCGATTCGTGTGGTCTTGGACGGGCCGTCGCCCAGGGCAACCTCCTTGACCGGGACCTCGTCGCATGTGATCATCCGCTGCCTCGGGGCGGCGGGGACGGAGGTGCCAAGCCTCTCGTCGCCACCCTCGGGCTTGGACGCAGCGGCGAGGTGGCCCGCGCGCTGCTCCATACAAGCAAGCGCGACTTTGAGGTCGCCATGGACAGAGATGGGGCCACCGGGGCCCGGCATCTTCATCTGGAGGTAGGCGTAATGGACCGCCGGCATGAACTTCACCAACGCGGGCCTCCCTAGGACCGCGTTGTAGGGCAGACTTAGGTCCGCCACATCGAAGTTTACCCGCTCCGTGCGGAAGTTGGCGGATCCACCGAAGGTGACCGGTAGGTCGATATGACCTAACGGCCATGTGTGCCCCGGCGTCACACCGATAATCGGCTGGGACGGCCGGAGCACCATCCCCGGGGCCTTGATGGCGTCAAAGGCTGCGGGGGAAAGGATGTTGAGGGCTGCTCCCCCATCAATGAGGACACGCCCTAGCTTCACGTTGCAAACAGTGGGGGAAACCACCATTGCGATCTGTCCTCCCCGGGCAACGCACGGTGGGTGGTCAGTCTGGTCGAAGGTGAGGGCAAACTCCGACCACCGCGCCCGGCGCGTCGCCTCATGAGCAGGGGCCGCGGCCAGAAGCTCTCGCTTCATGGCCTTGAGGCTCCGGCGAGAAACGTGAGCACACGCTCCCCCATCGACAGTGGCAATGGTGGCCCCAGGCTCTTGGAAACCTAGGTCATCATCGCCGTCATCGATGTCCTCGGCGGGGGCCTTCTGCTTAGCCTCACTTCGCCGATTGCCGGAAGGAACCGCCGGGGACTTGCCCTCTCGGCGCTCCTGCCTCCTCTCCTCCTCCCACTTCCTCGTCCGCTCAGCCAAACTTTTGACTGCGCGGCAGTCCGCGAGGTCGTGAAGGGAGGTGTTGTGGACGGTGCACCACTTGCCGGTTGGGCGCTCCCTGCTGGGAGCGCTGGCCTCCTTCTTTTTGTCGCTCGCAGGCCTCCCCTTTCGGGTGGCCCGCGAAGCACCCTCGACGGCGAGGACATGACCCTCGTCGTCGGAATGGGTTGACCTTTTCTTCCTCCTCCTGTCACGCCGCCCTGTTCGAGCAGCGGATCCGGGGGCGGCCGAAGCTGCCACACCGGAACCGGAGGGGTTCCATGTCCAGGACTCCTCCTTACGAGCCACTCAGTCCGCGAGCTGAAAAAGCTCCGCGGTAGTCTGGGGCTCTTTGGAGGCGATCTTTTCGAGCATGCGGTTGTGCCGCACACCCCCCCTGAACGCGTAGATCACCGCGTGTGCAGGGATGCATGGTATGGTGTTGCGGACTTGACAGAACCGCTGAATGTATGAGCGAAGTGACTCATCATCCCTTCGCTGGACTGCATGTAAGTCCGCTTCTTCACCTGGGCGCGGATATGTGCCTTGAAAGTTCATGGTGAACTGTTGGCACAGATCCTCCCAAGAGTGGACTGACGCGGGTGGCAAGTTCATTAGCCAACCCCGCGCCTGTCCCTTCAGAGCCATGGGAAAGAAATTCGCCATGACCCTGTCGTCACCCCCGGCGGCCTCGATCCCGGTCGTGTAGACCTGGAGAAACTCGGCGGGGTTGACGCTCCCGTCATATTTTTCGGCGATGGTGGGCCGGAACCTTGGGGGCCAACGGACGTTCCGAAGGCTCGCCACAAAGGCTCTACAGCCGACACCACCAACCGGGGGCACGGAGGGCTGATCCCCGCGTCCGTGTTGAGGTGACACTCCGGACGAGGAGGCGCCCTCCGTTGCGTGGGCAGCACGTCGGCCATTACGCCGGCGCTCGATACTGATGCGGGCATCCGGCCCCCCACGCAGATCTTCCCGGGTCGGAGGCGCTGACGAAGGAGTGGCGGCCGAATGGCGAGCAACAGCCGCCGCTCGCCGCGCCCTCCGCCTTGACGACACGGAGCCGGTGGTAGCAGCGCCAGAGGTCTTGGTGGCGGAGGACCGCCCACCAGCACCTAGGCGCTGCCGTGCCGTCATGACCAAGTTGGCCACGTCGTCCAGCCAACGTTGGGCTGGAGACTCCGGGTCAGGGACGACGGGCGGGTGACGTAGGAGCGCGCCCGCAGCTTGGAGCGCGCCCTGGGGCGTGCTGCCGTCGCCGTAGACGAGGAGGCGACGCTCCCCATCTCGGCGCCCTTCTCCATCACCCGTGGATGTCGAAGTCGCGGATCCTTCGACCCTCTCGAGCGCCTCCTCCCGCCTAGGACTTTGGCGTGGAGGGGGCGGTGGAGTACGAGCTCGACGGCGTGGGTTCGGCTCCCCGTCATCACCGCTAACACTCGGAGAGAGGTTGTGCGCCTTTGCTTGTTCGGCCATTGGGCTGAACAGGAAAAGCTTGGCGCACACGAAAGAATGCGAGAGCTTAGAAAAACACACACAGAAGCCCCTACCTGGCGCGCCAGATGACGGAGCGTGGGGCTCCTCACCGGGAGACCGCGCAGGCCCCCCTTTGCCGGTTCGGCCGGGGGCCCTGGGTGAGATTCTAAGCTCCTAGTCTGTGGAAAGTTCGCGAGAATGGAAAAAACACAAGACACGGGCGATGTATACAGGTTCGGGCCGCTGAGAAGCGTAATACCCTACTCCTGTGTTCTGGTGGATCTGTATATGAAGAAGCTACAAAGAGCTGGAAAGCCAGAGAGCCCTTACTCTAGAAACCCTCTTCTCCCTTTCTTTTCCTCTCCTGGGATCTACTCTCCAGATCCTCTCCCCTCCTTTTCTTTTCCTCTCCTGGGATCTACTCTCCAGATCCTCTCCCCTCCTTTTCTTCTTTTCCCCTCAGTGGGCAAGGTCCTCCTTTTATATCTCAAGGGGATACCACATGCACCACCTCTACCTATCTCTCTTTTTGGTGGGGGACCCATCCCCTTTTTCACTAAAACTTGGCCCGCCTTTCCTTCATAAATGGGCGGAGATTTGTAATGGTTGCCGTCCGAATGACCTTCTGATGGGACGGCCCATACCTACCTCCACTTCCGCCGGAAGCAGGAGCGACGTGGGAACATGGCTGTCTGCCGACGACATGACCAGTGTCAGACCGGTCACAAATCGGTCATTCTTGTCCACCACGTGTCAGTTTATCAATCTGCATGTTCGCCCTTCTTCATACAATGTCTTGCTTGCAACGGTTGGGATGAAGCCTGGCATATATCTGACCGGGACCAACGTGTCATCTCCAGGAGCTAGCACGCTGGCTCCGGCTAGGGACAAGTGCCTGGAGGCTCTTATCCTGACGGGATGGGGCGAGGCGTGTGTCAGACCGCCTGTTGCCACCTAACCCACGATCTGACCGGTCTGTGACTGGTCACAGACCGGATAAACGAGCGCGCTGTACTGCGTTACATGCGGCGTGACGCGCTCGTTCAAACCGCAATAAATGCGGTTAGGTGAGCCCCGTCGTGCTCACCTAACCTATACACACGGCGCAAAACCCACAAGGGGTTGGGGCGCCTCGGCCCTCGGGGCCGAAACGGGAGTGGTCCGATCCCTCGGGGAGACAAAGAGAGGGGCGGCCTCATCACCCTCGGGCCCGACCCCCCCCCCCCCGAGGGGGTCAGGCCACGTGGGTGATTGCTCCTGCCCAAACCTCTAGTCATGATACTTCCGGTCCCATGTCACCGACAATTCGTCTTATTCAAAAAAATTTACTTAATTATAATTTATTTTGTTATAAGTTGTTTTATCACTCATAGTACTTTAAGTGTGATTTATATCTTATACATTTACATAAAAATTTTGAATAAGACGAATGGTCAAACATGTGAGAAAAAATCAACGGCGTCATCTATTAAAAAACGGAGGTAGTATTTATTTTGTTTGGTCTTTTTTTTTTTTGCATGCACACCATACACACCTATAGATGATCCTCTTAACATATGTTTAAAGAGGAACCATCTGTTGAAAACACTTTCGCGTGAAGACTTTGCTGGACCTGTACTACAATGCTTGTTTCTTTTATCACTCCATTTAATAGTTTTTTTCCCCTCTTCTTACTTACTACTACTATATATACATAGTATGTTGACACATGGCTACATTAATTAATTAGAGGACTCGCGAACTAGTTACACATTTAGGCCACTGGAGCTAAGTTTGCGATGATGGTACTGCAGCAAGCTTGGCAATCAGATCCGTCAAAATAGAAGTGTAACTTTTGCTCAGATTATCGAGCCTTCACGATCTCTCTCACTTTCACTGGATCGTCGAGGAAACGCAAGCACTTCTCCTTGAGGCCATCGCAATGGTGCTCCCGGGCGAATGCAAGCATGGAAACAACCGTTCTCCCGTTCACGTACTCGCACAGTTTGTGCTCGCACACCAGCCTCAGCCTCTCCATCTTGTACCTGCTCGCCGCCGCGACCAGGTCCGGGAGCATCGCCGCCGCGTCCCCTCCTCCTTTCGTCGTCTCTGGCTCCGGCAGCGAGTCGGTGTACATGTAGCGGAGCAGAGCCTCGAAGTCCCGCGCCTCCATGTCGTCGATGCGTATGGCGGTGTGATCCACCGCGCCGCCGGTCGTGGCACCCAGCTCCTTGCTTGGCCCAAAAAGCTCTGCACGGAACACCGGAGACCGGGCCGCGAGCACCAGCCTGTGTGCCGCGAACGTCTTCCCGCTGACCTCGAACGTCACGTCGGCGCCCTCCCCGGTGGCGAGGAGGCCTCCGAGGTGCCGGTGCAGGTCCGACGGTGGGACCACCACCGTAGGCGGCGGCGGCGGCGGCGGCGTTGCGGTGTCTACGTCGATGTCCTCCGTCTGCAGCTCCATGAAGACGGTGAGGTCGCACACGATCGTGAGGCAGTCGTCCCGGAGATACTCCGATTTCTCCAGCACGTCCCTCCGGATGAAACTCACAAACCCCCACCCGCTGCTTTTGAAGGCGTGCGGGTTGCCTCCCGGCACGGTCGAGCAAGCTAAACTTGAACTGAGCTTTCACGTCTACATCGTCGTCGAGGTTGAGGAAGATGGAGATGCAGTTAGCTTTGTCCGAGTCGTTGCCGCTGGGATAGTAGCTGATGTGCCAACTATGGCCTCCGACGCGGAAAGATCGGGACTTGACGTTGCTGCCGGGGGTCGGGAGCTTGTCCTTGGTGTGGGAGTAGCCGTCGATCTTGAGAAGGTGCTGGCCGCTCTCCGTGCCGGCTATGATGGTGGAGGCAGACCGCACCGGTTTGCGGCTGCCAGTGGAGGTTGGCATAGCTATGGAGATTACGCTTGATTATTTATGATCACGAGGGCCACAATTCTTGCTGTTCAAGGCTGCATATGTGTGCGGAATTAAGCAATTAGTAAGGGTGACACGCTTAATTATATAGATTACTCCCTCGATCCGTTTCACATTATGAGTCGTTTGACTTTTTTCTTAGTCAAAACTTTTAGAAAACAATAGTAACATTTATAGCACCAAATTAGTTTTATTAAATTTAGCATTAAATATATTTTGACAATATGTTTATTTTGTATTAAATATATTTTCCTATAAACTTAGTTAAACTTAATGAACTTTGACTAAGAAAAAAAAGTCAAACGACTTACAATATGCAATGGAGGGAGTACATATTTATGCCTCATTGGTATATGGTGCCAAACATTGTCTATTCAGTCTAGTATTTGGTCCTAATCAACGAGGCAATATGGAGAGTCACTGTTGGATCCAAGTATTGGTCTAGGTGGGCTGTGGCATGAGGTATAGAACTAAAAACTCGTTCTATTATGGACGTAATTAATCAATGGTTGTGTAGATTTATGAGCAACTATATATGGATGGAGATTTAGCAATAGTATTTCCTTATGACTATGTTATTCCTCTCTGTATGTTGAAGTGTTTGTGATTCTTTGTTATCTTATGGATTTTATACATTGGTAGTCTTAATTATGGGCTGCAAATTATGTAATAAGTGGTTGTAAATTGAAGTAAAGGCCGAGATTCCCATTAACTAAAAGAACTATTAATCAATGGTTGCAGATGATGTTTTTTAAAATGTTGTTACTATGAATGCGACCTAAATTATGCTGGGTCAGCCTGGGATTTTATCCGAATTACGAATTACCTGGGTATATAGATGAATATCGAACGGATGGACAATGGAAGTAAGTGTGAGAGACAAAACTGAATGTCTGGTTAGGTGTAAAAAAAGAAGAAGCAAATTGTCAAATTATCCATCCATTTTTTCAAAAATAGATCAAGCTGCATATCCTTTTAATTTGCTTTTGCAATGATTCTACTGAAAGACAGAAAGACTTCTCGCGCGGAACTTCATGGAGTACAAATAATGCATAACACACAAAAATAGAAGTAGAAGAAGAAGGGATACAATAAAAAGTTTGAGCGTCAAAGTCACCAAATGCGGCCAATTAATCATGGAGCGCAAATGTACAATGGATATGTCATCTTGATGAAGCTTTGAGGCATCAACGAATCAGTCACCGTGCAAATTAATCTAGCAGAGTTTCAATAGGCATATATGAGGTTCAAACAAAGAAAGGATTTTACACACACCTGAAGGACCATCCGAATCAGGTCAGACTTCAGAGACAGAGATATGTCGTTGATTTTGTCTTGGCTGGAGATGGTTTGATCCAGCTAGGATTAGCTGCTGTTGCAGGGTCGGCAGATGTGGCATCTATCGACACAGATTTATATCGGAAGCAACAGAGAGAGGAAAAAAAAAGGTCATTGCTTAGCTAATTTAATTTGTTGTTGAATCTCCAGCTTCCTTGCAAGCTACCGTCTACTCCTAGCTCACATGGATACACGCCTGCAAGTAATCCAAGGAATCTGGGAACCTCTGCAGGTCTGCAATCCTTTGCTCCCGACAACGGGTTCCTCTTCCTCCTTTGGTCAGGGCAAAAACTTGGGAACTCACTGAGAATGAGTATAATAATACAGTAAGTTAATTATAGTTGGGAAAACTGATCCAACCACTAGAAGGGAAGAACTGATTCAGATGGACCAGATATTGTTGGCCTCATCAGTTTGTTGTTGTTTTTTCTGTGTGTTTATTTTTTTAAAAAAAAACTGTTGTGGAAACAAAAACACATCACTGAACATGTTTGTCAGAGATGCATACAAAGACTGGCACACATAAACAAAAAAAATGCTGGAGGAAATTCCAAATTTACACTAAAACAAACATGGCAGATAAATTTTACTACTTCCAACCAAAAATTACCATGTTTATCCATTTTCTTGGATTCCATAGAAGATGCACACATACACATATCACTATGCAGTATACACACACACACACCCCATACATCCAAACAAGTGCTCCTCCTAGCATATGTTCAAAGAGGGACCGACGACAAATCTTGATCTCGATAAATTTCTATTGAAATACATTCGCGTGTAGTACTTGTGTTGGAGTTGTATTACAATGCCTGTTTTCTTTTATCATTCCATTTAATAATTTATTTTCCCTCTTCTTAATTACTACTATATACATATATACATGTTGACACATGGCTACATTAGAGGACTCCCAAACTGGTTGCATATTTAGGCCCACTGTAGCTCAGCTAGCTACGTTTAGTACAGCAGCGAGCTTGGCAATTAGGTCCTTTAAAATAGAAGGGTAACTTTTGCTCAGATTCTCTAGTCCCTCTGCCTTCACGATTTCCCTCAATTTTACTGTATCATCGAGGAAATGCAAGCAATCGGAGAATATTAAGGACGGCGGGATGGGCGCTCGCTCGTTGCGTCCACGTCGGATTTTGCTACAGTAGCTACGGTGCGCACGGGGTGGAAATTATGCGAAAAAGCCCTCCGATTTTTCGTAATAATGTATAGGTCCCTAGCGTCCTGTGTTTGAAGAGGAATAATCGCGGACAGGGGCTTTTTTGTGATATGTGGAAGAAGAGGGGCTTTTCCGCAAAACAGCATCCACTAACGCATACCCCCCAAAGCCCTAGCTGCCGCCTCTCCCTCTCCCGCCCCCCCTCCCGCGCCGCCGCCGCCTGCGCCTACCCTCGTGCCGCCGCCGCCTCCGCCTCCCCCTCCCCCTCGCCCCATCCACGTCGCCGAGCGCCGCCGCCGCCTCCACTCCCGCCGCCTGCGCCTACCCTCGCGCCGCCGCCTCCGCCCCCCTCCCCCTCGCCCCGTCCACGTCGCCGAGCGCCGCCTCCGCCCCCTCGCGCGCCGCCTCCGCCTCCCCCTCCCCCTCGCCCTGTCCACCCCCTCGCCCTGTCCACGTCGCCGAGCGCCGCCTCCGCCCCCTCGCGCCGCCGCCTCCACTCCTGCCGCCGCCGCTGCCGCCGCAGAGCGCCGCCGCCGCTCTCCTTGTCCCGCGCCGCCACCGAGTGCCTGCCATCTCACCCTCTCCCTCTTCTTCTCCCGCCGCCGCCGCCGCTGCCGCCGTCACCGAGTGCAGCCGTCTCCACCTCCGCCACCAGCCATCGCCGTCGCCGAGCGCACACCGCTGCCGCTCCCTGCTATCCCTTTCTCACCCCGCCTGCCTCCGGTCCCCCTGCTTACCCCGCCTACCTCCCCCATGATGCGGCGGCGGCGGTGGCGACGACGACGACGGTCGATGGGGTCATTTCCTCCCCACAGAGGTAGGGGTCCACGCTGGCTGCGGCAAATTTAGTTTGTTCGCGCTGTTCAGAAACGGTGGTCGCGTTTCATGTGTACGGGCTGCGTTTATTGGTGCATGTGAAGGCACGTGTCTTTGAGTGTGTCTGTGGCAGCTTGGGCGGTTCATCCGTGGTAAAGAGGGAAGGGGACGGCGTGGCATTTTCTGGATGCACTCGCATTTCCTCTTCGTCGTTGGCCGCGCCATTCCGTGCGATTTTTGCTCCGATATCAGCGGCTCCATTGTTTTGCCCCCCTGATTTGGTATTGAATCGATGCTCTTTCTATCTCAGTGCCGAATCTGCATGTCTGGTGTGATTTCTTCCTCCTTATACATTTTCTCCCTGGTAATGGATGGCCAGTTAATTGGTGTTGGATGTTTGCTTGTTGTTCTTCCTCACTTGTCGCTGCATATCAGAGCATGGTACAAATCGTTCAGGGTGCCCGCTCACACCACTCAAGATGCTCTGATTGGGCCATTGTGGCGTATGCCAGTCGAGTCTCGTCGCTGCGGGAGGATCCCGCCAGTGCGGCCAGTGTCAGGTGCACTCACCACCACTCGTCGTTCGAGGGCGGGACGGAGAGCTCGAGCATGCCTGGTCAATGGCAGCCGGTCGTCGGGGCTGCGAGGTGGTTGGTGGTGTCTGTGCGTGTTCCGGCGAGTGGTCGGTCCCACGGCTATAGCCAATCATGCTCCGCTGCTGTTCGGGCCCCACGTAGTCGTGGTCCATGCCAATTGCAGTTGGCCGCTGTAGCAGGCTCCGCCGATGTGCCCTTTGTCCGGCGCAGTGTTACTGCTCGGCGTTCGAGGCGAACACGGAGAGCTCGAGGATGGCCTCCGTTAGAGCACTGATGTGTTACGTCGTATGCTGTGGCTGACCGATGGCCCTGTCATCTGTGGGGTCCTATTGACAGCCTCTGAGTATGTTGTTTTTTATGTTACATATTTTTTTGTTTTGTTTACCAGTATAAGTAGCTCATTGCCTGCCAATCTTCTCTTTCCCTTCTGCTTTTTCACCATTTCCTTTGCATTGCCTTTTGGTGCCCGTTCGCTGTTTTTCTTGTCGTCTGTTCTAGCCCATTCTCCGCTGTTGTGCTTTCTTCGTTCGATCATGGACCCTGGGGGGTGAACGCGTGTGCTGGTGGGTTTTCTGTATCTGGCCTAGCTGCCTTCCTTTCTGTCTGTGCCGTGTGTTTCCTTTTTATCCTGTAATTAGGCTTGGTGCATTTCAGGTAGCCATGTATTGGCCTGTTTGTTGCACGGGACTTACTGTCACAGAGTTTTTAGGTTTTAGGCGATTTTCCCCGTGTTCATGTTTCCCTTTTGACAGTGGATCATTGCTTATCTCTGTTGTTCTTCTTTCAGTATATACTTCTTTCAGTAAATAGATGGTGGCTATTACATAGATGAAGCACACGGTCGTTAGTTAATGACAAATATCATTGTTTTTTTTATTCCTGGTTCTGATTCATTATTGGATCATGTTTCACCATTCAGAGTGTGTCCCGTGGTGTTTTCTTTTCGTGCAGAACCATGTGGTTCATTTGTATTTTTGAGTCTTTCCTTAAGTGCATCTCTGTACGTTTACATGTTTTTTTTTTTGTCCCTTCATATCGATTTTTTTTGGCGCAGGTGCTTATTGTCGCGGTCAGGTCCGTGCGATACGTTTGTTGCTGTTGTGCTGCTGTTCCCTTTACCATCAGCTCCTGTTCAGGTGAGCTTTGTTTCTTTGCTATTTCTTTGGGCTGACATCCTTTTTGTTTTTTAGTTTATTTGTGCCTTGTGGTTTGGTGTATGTTCTTTCTTTTATCTGATATCTAGCTTAAATTACATTCTTATTCCCTGCAGGTTGCGGACCGCATCTTCTGTGCCTGTACATGTCAGCTAAGGTATAACAATTGGCCTCTGATTTCACCGCCGTTTGGGATCGCGTCCCTGACGCGGGAGTAGCCCTCCGTCTTGAGCAGGTGCTGCCCGCTCTCGGTGCCGGCAACGACGGCGGAGGCTGACCGCAGAGGTGGCCTACGGCTGCCGCCGGTGGTGGACATGGCCTGGCCGGAGTCGATCGTTCTCTGTTCGTTCACTGAATGTACCTGGGAAAATTGGCAGATTGTTTTCACGCCTGAAGTGAACGTTGCTTTAATTTATTTCTTAAAGTAAAATGCAAATAGCGATGAATTACGATAGGTATCAATGCAATCATGCATATACTCCCTCCTTTTGTTTCATATTATAAGTCGCTTTTATTTTTATCCTAATCAAACCATTTTAGGTTTAACCAAATTTATAGAAAAATAAAACAATATTTTCAATACAAAATAAATATATTATTAAAATATATTCAATGTAATGAAACTAATTTGATATTATAAATTGTTGGTAATTTTTCTGTAAATTTGATTAAACTTAAATATGTTTGAATAGGATAAAGTCAAAACGACTTATAATATGAAATGCAGAGAGTAAATTTGAGGTGTAAGTTCGACCAACCATCAAAGACAAAAAAAAAATCCACTATGAACAATATTTGCACTTTTTATCACCATGTTTTATATATATTTGTCTTTTACTTTGTAGGTCAAGTTTAAATTTAAAATTTAGGGGAGTGAATGTCTGCGATCGTTTCTCCAACAACTCTTGAATGAAATTTTGGATACTTGTGGCACGTTTTTTTCAAAATGCTAAACGATATGTTTCGTGTGAAAAATTTCTATATGAAAGTTTCTCTAAAATATCATATTAATCCATTTTTCAAGTATATAATAATTAAAACTCAATTAATCGCACGTTATTACCACCTCGTTTTACGTGAAACACTTAATGTTTATCTTCATCTTCATGAGATTCAAACATGCATGTGCTCTACGTTTCCCTTTTTTTCTGTATTTTTCATTGCCTTTTGGATTGCATTTGTGAAGTAAAGGTACGCAAAAGATTATCCTTCTAGGGATGAAAACAAAATGGAATAAAATTACCTGGCCGAATGTTTCGGCTAGGCCCTGTTAAAAAATGGAGCAATTAGTTTGTATTTTCCCCAACATTTTGGCAAATTGACCGTTCAAAAAACTAATTGCAAAACATATCGTACCAAAATCTACCTGAAAAATAGATTGTTTGCGCAGTACAAACTTTGATGAATCTGAGCTATAATATTTTAGCAATATTAACATTGGCACTAAGGTATTATTTGAGGTGGCACGACTTTACAGTATACTGATTTAGCACCAACTGCCATCACATTGGTGCTGCTCGCAGCCTTCTATGGACAGCTACCGTCACATTCGGTTCAAAACCCCTGGTCCATAGTTTTTTTTTTTTCACTTACCCGGTTTTTAGCTTGTTCTTTAAGGTTTTTTTAAAATAAAAAAAATCACATATTCTCAAAAAATCATTTTATTTTCAAATTGGAAGTTGAACTTAACTTATATAATATTTGTATTTTTTTTGTTTTTTCTCTAATTTTTTTAAATCACGTGTTTTATTTTGGTGTCTATTGAAGGACACGCATTTATCTGGTGGCATCATTTTTCCAAAATGATCCAAGCTCATTGCCACCACAACTCTACCCACTCGAATAAATGTGTGTCCTTTTAATATAAAAAAACATGTGATTTTTTATCTCATAGCTAGATAAAATGAATCTTTTGCATCAAAACTAAAAGGATAAAATGAATTCTGAAAACATGTGATTTTTTTAGTACATACTCCCTCTATCCTACAATAAATCAAACCCTAGCTTCCCAATGTAGAATTAGTGAGAAAGATAATGGACCAAAATATCCCTAATTAATAGAGAAGTTAGTCAAACCTAGCTTCCCAATGTAGAATTAGTGAGAAAGATAATGGACCAAATATCCCTAATTAATAGAGAAGTTAGGTGAGGGGTATTAAAGGAACAAAATTTCTCGATCTACGGTCTGACGGTAGATAAGAAGGTAGGAGTTGATTTATTTTAGTACAAATTCAAACTTTAGAAGTTGATTTATTTTGTAATGGAGGGAGTCTATGTTTGTGATGATTCTACCGAAATGGGATGTGCAAGCTGCCATAGCATGCAGCGGCTGCAGCAGTTCAAACTAGCTGCAATTGACAACCATTTACAAATGCAGTAGCTGCAGCGGTTGTGACAGTTCGCATAGCGGAACATGCCCAGTAATTGCAATACTTTCATGGAATACAATACAATATAAATGAATTAGGAACCCTAACAATAAACCTACTCATCACCCTATGCCATTACTGCACCCAGCATAACAAAATGTATATATTCTATCAGGCTGAATCATTGGCATATATAAATGATTTTCAGTCAGTATACACATTTAGCAGACCCAATTGGTGTAAAGTACAAACAAACAAAGAAAAGATTTGCACACCTGAAGGACCCTAATCGGATCAGCTCAGAGATAGTATGGTTAGCTTAGCCGGAGATAAATCAGACTGTTGTGGCAGGGTTATTAGCAGAGAACCAGACACATTTATACAGGACACGAGTTAGAAAAAGAAAGAAGAGACGAACACCAAGACAGGATCACAGGATGTGTGTCCAGTCATTGCCTGGCTTATTTGCCACAAAAAATTCTCCAGATTTCTTGCACGCTACCGTCTATATCGTGCAAAATGAACGCATCTGAACGTACTCCCTCCCACAAGTATGTATGTAACCCAAGGAAGAGAGAGCTAGTACCAAAGGCAAATTCTTGGAAACCATGCAACAACTGCAAGCCTGCAAAATCCTTTGCTCCCGATAACGGGGTCCTCATCAATCGAATATTCATGCCAAACTTGGCAGCTCAGCTAGGCCACATGGAAAAACCCAATTTTCACAAGAATCGGAAAAAAGAAACTAGACCCCCAGCCTTTTTTTCTTTTAGAGCAAGTTTAATAGTAATATGGATAAAATCCCTTATATATATATATTTTAGGATGGAGGTAGTAATGTTTTTGTAAAAAGGTAAATTCCTGATTTAGACTAGAACCCTGAAGTCCGAACCTATCCGCTTCCACTAAGATTTGATATTCACTTACATGCATCAATCCGTTTTTAAAAAAAGTCGACGGTAGTGTAAAAAAAGAAGTCGATGATTCAGAACAGTTTAGTTTTATCTCGATGATCAGTTGCCTTATTTAATTAGGACAAAATATATGTGCAACAACCTTTTACAACTCAACAGATTTATTTATACTGGACATGTTATCTCTACTACTTAAAAAGTTCGTAGTGGTGGTCTTGATTCCTGACACAGCAGACGCATGTGACAGACACGCCTAATCTCAACCATCCGTTTGCCATATCCAATGATCGATCTCCTCCCCACGCTCGCTCCTCTCTCGATCCAAGAGATCACTCCCCACGCCCACTCCTCCTTCTCCCACGCCGCCTTCTCGCCGCCTTTTTCGCCCTCCTCCCTGTATCGCGCCAGCGCTGCGTCGCCTCCTCATCTCGCGGCTGCGTCGCCTCCTCACCTCGCCGCAAACGCCGCCGCCGTCGACTCCGCTCCAGATCCCCGCGTCGCCTCCTCACCTCGCCACCAACGCCGCCGCCGTCGACTCCGCACCAAATCCCCGCGACCTCGCCCCATCCGCCCCAGCCGGCGGCGGCCGACTGCCAGATCCCCGCATCGCCTCCTCACCTCGCCGCCAACGCCGCCGCCGGCGACGTTGCCGCTGCCCACCCGCCCCAGCCGGCGACGCTGCCGCTGCCCACCCACAAGTAAGTCTGTTCTGTACCAGTACACTGCAAGTAAGCATTGCTGAATCAAAAGAGGTCAAAAACATGGTTGTCAATACCAGACAGTTGTTTTTCTTTCTCTTCTTCCGTTGGGGTGGGAAATAAATTTATTCAAAAAGAAATAAATTTAATGTTATGCATTATGTGGGGGAATAGGGCAATTGACAGTTTACTCTACCGAGGTGCTGCTGCTGAATTTGTAAACTACCGTGGTGCTGCTGCTGAATTTTATTTTGAAAGCACTTTGCAATCTGTGAGATGGGGAAGGAGGTTAGCCTAGATCTTACTCATAAAGACGACTTCTCTAACCCAACAATTAGGAGTTACTACAAAGTTTTTGTTGAGGTAATTATCCCCTGCATGAAATGACTGACAAGTAGTACTTGCATTATACACATAACATAATTTGAACATAATGTATCCTTGTATTTGATAAACTTAGGTTCGGCTGTAAATACTGAATAATTGATGCAATTTTCGATTGGATGAAATTGAATGTACCATGCACTCCTGCTCACTATCGCGACTGAGTATTTCTTCGCAGTTATAATGACATTGCAATCAAGTAGAAATATCCATTAGTTAAATATTGACTTAGCTGCCTCCCTAATTTGTTTCCAACATGCATTATCCACCAAATTTAAATTACAAATCTGACTAGGTAGATTACAAGTTTTTATGCTTTCTAGCTTTGCACTCCCAAAGGAAAATCTCCGATTGGCTATCAAGGACCCATGTTAGTATGCAAATGTAAAACTGCAATCGATTCCGATTAAATCCAATGATTTTCTACTATGCGTGTAGGGGGTTATTTTTGCCCTTTTTTTTAATCTTCCTTCCTCTTTTCCTCTTTGTGTAAAAATATAAGATACGTCTCAAAATATATTGTTTTTTTTTTGTCATCAGTCATTCCTTGTTTGCTAAACGAATAGTATGTCATCGACCTCGCCGTGTCATCTCGATGACTTGCATATATAGAGGATGCAGGAAGGGCCTGTAACTAACTATAGGGGTGCCATGCATAATTGGATTGGATTTCTTTTACCTTTACAGAACAATATTTTTGAACAAAAGGAATATTACTTTATTTTGATATCATCTTTTCTTGTATTGCAGGTTTTGGATTCTTAAACTCGTAGCGTTTGCTGTCTATGTTTAGATGGTATATTACTGATTTGCAGTATGAGCTAAGCATCGGTCATCTTTTCATTTCATTCTTGCCTCTGAAGATAGGTACTGTGCCATTGAAGATACATGTTTGTGTGCAAGCTAAATCACACTTATGCATTTATGCATGGTTAATTACATTGTTTGCTCTGTTAATCTACACAACATGATGGCGTTCTCTGCAATCTTAAGGGATTTATAGTTTTATGCATGATTATGCTTTTCAGGTCTTTAGTAAAAAAATGGTGGTCAGGGATTTAGTAAGAAATGCTGGAGCACTAATTGATCCTCTGCTCAAATTGATCAAATAGTACTGTCCATTTATGCCTACTCTTTTCTGATCACATGGTATTGTGTCAAATAAATTTGATATTTAGCTTTGGTGTCCTTAAATGGCATGGTTGTTTTATAAGACCCTGTGATTTTCTACATGTCACCTTAACAATCAGTAGGCTCTGTTGGATTTGTGTGGACTCATAAAGAAGAGGTGCTTGTGTTTGCTGGTTCATCAAACAGCTCCATCAAAGCGGTAGGGCGTGGGAGAAGCCAAAGGTTTGGCTGTGCTGCTACTACTACTAGCATCCATTCACATTCATTACTCTGTAGATCAATAGTACCATTTTTATTTGCGGATCAGCAGTAGGGTTCTGGACTTACATTGCCGATCAAATGATTTGCGGATGCAAATAATGAATTTCCATATGTACACCTGTAGTGGGCCGTATGATAATAATATATCTGGTACATTGCAGAAATGGCTTTGTAGTCCAAAATTGCTCATATAATTAAGTTGTCAAATTATGTGCACGGACAATGCACCTGATTTGTCTGCGATAACAGGTAATGACGTGCCAAATTGCTCTTCAGCTTCTGCATCCGATGTAATCACGTTTCTGTCAAGTGACATTTGATACTTAGATGCTAATAAACTAAATCTGTATGACAACAGTTACGGGTTGAATCAACTAATTTTCTGACAGTACATGTGCTTAAGTGCACAACCTAAAATTTCTTTAATTCAGAAGAACATGTAACCACATTAGGTATAAAATTTGCAAGATATCGATCTTAATGGCCTGGTGCTGCTAGGTGTATGCATTAATTCTGGTGCGCTAGATATAGTTTGCTTGCCTCCAGGATTATATGATAAGTTAGATGTATTTTGTTGGCCTGCTGGATGTATGCATTCAGCTCCTGACTTATTCTTGATTTATTTGTGCATGCCGGATCCATGGAAGAATCAACCCACTAAAGTCTGAACTCTGAAATAAGGCTTTTGGTATACTGTGGCCTATATATTCTGCACGTCATATAGCTTTCATGTCACAGTATATGTACAGGTTAGCACTGGATGGAAATTAATACCTCATTTGTTTTCTATCTTTTCAAGAACTTTGCTCAGGGTTGGTATAAATCACCACTTAAGTAACTTTGTGATGGCATCCATCTAGCCCTATGGCCATTTACATAGAGCAATAACTATGCATTTATCCGCTTTTCTTCTTATGTAAGTGAAATGATCTGGTGGTATATGATTCTGTTATTCTCTAAGTCAATATCTTGGATGATCTTATACTGCTTTTTGTCTGCAGGCTTCGGGGAAGGTTGAGTATTCAAGCCTTGGTCAAGAGTTTTTTTTTTCTTATATGGTTTGACAAAATAGATATTTGGTTGTATCGCTGACAAAAATGTTTGATATAGCATATTCTTGATTCATGTAGATTGACAAATGATTTCACAAGCAAATGAAAGAGTATGTGTTTTAGACATTTAGTACACACGCTATTATCTACTGATGTCACGGGCAAGGATGTTGGTGGAAGGATTGCGGCGAAGCGAGTATTTGAAGGACGTTGCAGGACGTGGCCCTGGACCTCGTCGGCGCGGCAGAGCCGTGATCGGCGACGCACCAGCGAGGCAGGGAGATAAACTAGATTGGACTCAAAATTGATTGCTCTATTTCCTGGCCTCAATCGGCTTAAATAATACATGAACTGTAATGCTAACAAACTCAAGAGATTAAGATGCTAACAAACTCAGGATAAAGCCTAATAACAAACTCTAGAAAAGAACTCAATCCTAACAACTGTTGGTCGCCCAGTTGTTGCCGCCGCGCGGCACCTCGCCTCCTTGCATACGTGAGTCCCCACATGACAACTGAGGAGCTGTTTTCACAGCTTATCTACAATGAGTCAAAATTTAAAGTCAACATCATAGCTACAATGCTAGATTAAATAGGGTTATGAATATCTGCTCAGAAATATTTTTGTATACTCGTTTTTATTTTATGCCAAAAATTTTGTATTGATGTCTCATTGAAATTGTTTATATATAGGAATCATATGTTTATTTTCACTATGAATTCCCTGATTTATCCTGCACTTTCTTCAGAAATTTGGGTGTAATACTCTAATTTCTTTTGAATCCTATTGTTACTTGGGCACTGTTGAGGAAGGAGGGTGTTGGAACTGCCACGGAGGCCGAGCTCCAAGTGGTCTACGCGTATTCATTGGCAAGATCGGTCTCAAGCTGCAATTCTGGAGGTTTACATATTAACTACCATCCTACGGGCTTGTTGACTTGGTGTTGTATCATATTCTGTTATCAATATTTTTTTAATTAACCTATAAGTCAAGACTGATTGATTATGTAAAACTAAATTATTTCTAGCTTTGTTTTGTCGGTGCTAAATATGGTGATTAATGCGATCCGTAACTTTGGTCATTGCAATGTAAGATAGCAACAGATATATGGAGACAATATATAATGCATATATAAAATTAGATTTCAGCTATTTGGTCCTTGACATCTGATGCTTTTGTTTGGAAAAAAAAAAGAAAGATTAACTATAACTGGCAACTAATCAATATGGCATTCTTGCTTAAAAAATCACAAAAGCAAACCTGAATTAAATAAACTGAATATATTTTAATGAAATGAATACTTTTTTAATAACATGGGTTCTACATATCGCCGTAGCGTTAGCACGGGCAAATTACTGGTATAAGAGAAGTCGTTAACCAGCAAATATAAAATTACCACCGGGCACAACTACGGTTTTGTAGCAAACATGGCAATTAGATCCTTCAAAACAAAGGGGTAGCTTTTCGTCAGATGCTCAAGACCTTCAGTCTCCACGATGTTCCTCAAATTTGCTGGATCTTCGAGTAGCTGCAAGCACTTCTTCTCAAGCTCGGGGCATTGGTGTTCCCCAGCAAACGCCAACATGGCTGCCACGGTTCTCACAGTTACATACTCACATAGCTTATCTTCACAGACCAACCTTAGTCTCTCCATCTTATACCTGTTAGCCGCCGCGACCAGGTCTGGGAGCATCGCCACTGCGTCTCCACCTTTCATCTCCGGCAACGAGTCGGTGTATATGAAGTGGAGCAGAGCCTCGAAGTCCTGCGCCTCCATGTCGTCGACGCGTATGATGACACCGGCACCGCCAGTCGCGGCATTCCCCTTCTCCGTTAGGGAGAAAAGCTCTTGGTGGAACACTGGGGATCGGGCCGCGAGCACATTCCGATGCGCCAAGAACGTCTTGCCGTCGACCTCGAACGTCACGTCGGCGCCCACTCCGGTGGCGAGGAGGCCGCCGAGGTGCCGGGCCAGGTCCGACGGTGGCAGGGTTACCCGCCTGCCGCCAGTGTCCTTTGCCTCGGGATTCTTCATGACCGTGATGTCACACCTGATCGTGAAGCGGTTGTCCCGGAGGTACTCCGATCTCTCCAGTACGGCCTTCTGGATGAAACGCAGAGATCCCCGATAGCGGCCGTAGCCATCGAAAATTTGCAACCCATGGCTGTAGATGTAGGATGTCACTGGCTCCCGTTCTTGGTCGAGTAAGCTCAACGTGAGCTCTGCTCTCACGATTGAGCGACCGTAATAGTAGTCGTGGGCCTCGTGGCCGTCCAAGACGAGGTAGATGGATATGCAATCGGAAACGTTCGAGTTGAAGCCGTTGGGGTAGTAGCGGATGTACCAATCGTGGCCGCCAACGCGGAAATGCCGAGACTGGACGCAGTTGCCGATGGAGACGGCGTCCTTGATGCTGGAGTAGCCGTTGATCTCGAGCAGGTGCTGGCCGCTCTCCGTGCCGCCTACAATCGCAGAGGCGGAACGCAGCAGTTTGCCGCCGGCGACGGTGGGCGCGGTGGCCATTGGCATATATATGGCTTTAATTTGGGACGGACAAATAGTATCGAGCTGCAGAATTTCAGATAACAGGAGTTTTGACATCAGTGGTCGTTATTCGGTTAAAGCTGAATGGAATCATCAAGTGAGGCTGTGTTTAGTTCAGCGCAAAGTTTGCATTTTGGTTGAAATTGGAGATGATGTGACTGAAAAGTTGTGTGTGTATGACAGATTGATGTGATGGAAAAGGACTGAAGTTTGGATCTAAACTTTGGATCTAAACACAGCCTGAATACATGAGAGAGAATATACGGCCGAGCTTAAGTCGGTCAAAACCTCTCTCATTTTTATACGCACGTTTTTCAAACTGCTAAACGATATATATTGTTTTTTAAAAAAACAATCATAGAAAAATTGTTTTAGAAAATCATATTAATCCATTTTCAAATTTTTTAAACTAATACTTAATTAATCATGCGCTAATATATTGTTTCATTTTGCGTGTCAAGGGGAAAGGTTCCTAACATAGAAAAATTATGTAGCACAAGCACATATATAGTAAAAATCTAGAAAATACCGTTGGATTCAAAAATAGACCTTTGAGATTTGTTCATGTCACTAAGATTAAAAAATTTACTCGTATATTCTACCATGAGAGAAAATTTTATTGCGAGTAAAATTTTACTCTTGATGTCGTGGATAAATCTTACACGTTCATTTTTCAATCCAATGATAGTTTTCAGATTTCACTACATATGTGATTTGCACTATTTATTTCCCACTATCATAGCCTATCAATCACAACATCTGTTCCACCGTGAAATGAGCAGAGGCAGAGTCTCACACTGTTTGAAAGTTGAGGGGTACCAGTTTCATTCAATTTTGATTTGAGGATTAAAGAGCTGAGGAACGAGAAATAAAAATTTTCATAATTCTTAGCACAATATGTTATTAGTGGACATCGCTAGTCCCTCAGGTATTGAGAGATACGGAGTACTGAACATACATCAAAGATATAGGAGTGAAAAATGAACATCCGATTAGATGCATTGTAAAATTTGTCGAGTACCAACCTAACAAATACTTTTCTCAAGAATAGAACAAACTTCGTCCTAAGTCCTAACTTTACGTTGAGGTTCCTCACTTGAAATCTATTCAGGGAACTCCATTTTTCCAATTTAGAGATATGTTCGAGTAGTGATCGATTCTACGTACTGAAAAAGTATTTCTTTAGGGAAGAATTAAGATTATACCAAAAGAGTGTTTGCAACACCTCATGTAACAGATTCACTAATAAAAAAACTTCACGAAATAAATTGTTTTAAATAAAGGGAACCTTCAACAATGTGAGTCCGTTGCTCTATCAGACTCAGTTTGCTATGGGAAACTATGATGGATAACCCCGATAATGTCTTGGGATCAACTATATATCTTGAACATGAATATCTTAGCATATTGAAATAGTATAAACAACACGATCAACTCACCTAGATCAATCGAATCAGCTTATAGAGCTGAGCTGGAGATCATATGGTAGATGATTTGACAAAAGATCACAATGATATGCATGAGCGAGGTTGCGAGTAGCTACACATATATTTATACTTGGTTCCAGAAAGGCCTTGATAATGTAAGGAGAAAGACCTGAAGGTGGGAACCACTTATCTGGTAGAGGTGTGGTGCATGATTTCATTCATTAGGGTTTGAAGTCTTATGTCATCTTTGTTGTGTAAAACTTCTACCTATGTGGCTGGCAAATTTTACCAACCGAGAGGCTAGGTTATTAGTTCATGCCATAATTGTGACATACCGACTTCCTAGCTTGGCAATGAGTCCACTCGCTATAAACACATTTCTTTGTCACAAATTGTCACATTTAATAAGTTGTTAGTCGAATGTAAGTGGAGCAGGTAAGCAGGTTTTTTTTTATCATAATTTTATTTAATATTTTTCTTCACAATTTTATACTAGCAAATGGAAATGAACCATGAAGTGGGTTTTTATGAGAGTTATTAAGCATGAAACACTTGGCAAAGATTTTTATGGTGAATTCCACACACTGCCAAATATTTTAAGGCAAAGTATGAAAGGCAAAAAAAATATTTTACAAAGTGTGGATGATATCCAACAGTTCATTAATGCTTTTATTTGCACTCTCTGAGTTCCTTCTAGTAAATCTTTTGTAAGATTAAGGATTTATTAAAAGGATACCTTGTAGCAGTACACACAGTCATGTACATGTGTGGTGGTATTTGCGTCTTTTCGCAGTGGAAAGATAAAAGTCATAGGCTGTGTTTAGTTCCCTTTAAACTTCCAAAAATTCCGTCACATCAAACGTTTGGACACATGCATGGAGCATTAAATGTAGACGAAAAAAAGAACCAATTGTACAGTTTGCATGTAAATTGCGAGACGAATCTTTTGAGCCTACTTACGCCATGATTTGACAATGTTGTGCTACAGTAAATATTTGCTAATGACGGATTAATTAGGCTTAATTGATTCGTCTCGCAGTTTACAGGTAGAATCTGTAATTTGTTTTGTTATTAGTCTATGTTTAATACTTTAAATGTGTGTTCATATACTTAAAAAAAATTGAAAAGGAGCTAAACAAATGGTAATTATATCTAACTAAGCAAATATGTGGGCACCGGCCTATCCGCTAGTAGTTACTAGTTAGTATAAAAACAAAACGATTAACACACCTGGATCAACTGAATATTAGCTTATAGAGCTAGGATGGAGAATTCTCTTGGAGATAAATTGACCGAGATTATATGACTAAGATAGGAGGTCGTTACACATATTTATACCCAAGGCCAACAAAGCATCAAGGAGAAGCGTTGTAATGCATTGATTTAATTTGTCCTACTTCTAGGAGTGTTTTTTTTTTTCGAACACGCAAAAGGATTACTACTTCTAGGAGTCTAGAACTCCCTATTTCCCCTATCGTGTAGCTAGGGCTCATTAAGAACAAACTAAATGAAAACTAGAGGAATTTTGGATGATTTTATTCCTACAAAAGAATTTCTAATACGTGGCCTCTGGAACAAACAATAGCCTCACAAATTCTTTTGATTTTTTTATGGAATGGGCTATTTCAAAGGAAGTTGGAGAAAATCTAGCATAAGGTTCTACCTTATATTTTTTTTTCTTCCAATGGCACAAGTTTTATGTGTTTTCCTGTGTGTTATCCAAACGGTAGTTTTGGAATTTTTCTATGTTTTTAATTTCTATAGGAATTTAATGGGCATGACAATATTCATACGTTTTTCTTTTCATGTTTCTGTGTTTTCCCAATCCTACATTTTAAAGGAGCCCTTAAATATCTCTCTCCCAGTATGTGCAAAGCTTGAGAAATGATGTATATATCCATACTGTGAAAGTTTAATAGGGGAAACTTATTCCAGTAGTTTTCACAAAATCTGAATATTGATGATCTTATTTGCAACTATATCGTATATATACGAGCGTGTTATAATGAAACTTATTCCAGTAGTTTTCTTGCACGCTACTATCTCCTTGTCTAAAAAAAGGACTTCCAAAGAAAGGAGCCTAAGCTTTAAATGCTTTATTCCTTTTGTTATGCCAACCTTGGAAGCCAAGGGAGGACCTTGGAGCCCTTTGTTATGAGTACTAAATTTTACACGAGAATCACATATTTATGTGTGATGGTTTTTCAAGGGGCCTTTAGTAACTGGGAAGAAAAAAAAAGTGCTTTCCCTATATAGTTGAGATACATTTTTCTCAAATATCTGACAAGCATATTGCTTGATTCATTTTAGACAAAATGTACGTGTAATGTAACAAATCTTAGACCTTACTACAAATTAACTTACACGGGACATTTTGGAGAACTCGTTAACCGGTTTATTATATATCAACGGACACAACGACGATTTTGTAGCGAATTTGGCAATTAGCTCCTTCAAAACATAGGGCTTGTTCACTATGCTACCATTTTCAACCTTACCGAGTTTTGGTATTGCTAAATTTTGGTAAGGTTACCAAAATTTTAGCAAGGTTGTTAAATTTTGACAAGATTTAAAATTTAGCAACAAACTAAATGTAGCCACTTTTTTATAATTTTATAAAAAAAATAAGGTTGAAAATGATAACAAAGTGAACAACCCCATAGGGTCAGCTTTTGGTCAGATACTCGAGTCCTCTGTCTCTACGGTGTTTCTCAAATTTGCTGGATCATCAAGGAGCTGCCGTCTAGTACTTCCCCCTGTTTTCAACTGAGGGCGCTATTGTTTTTAACTCGTGTTTGACAAAATTATACAGATATACTAAAATGCCATGCTTTATTATTTTTCATGATAAATGAAGTCACAATAGAATACATAATAACTACACAATTTTTTTAATAAAATGAATGATCAAACAAGTGTCAAAAAAATCAATCACGTCACCTATTACAAACCGAAGATATCGGAGATAGTACCATCAAAGAGGGAGCCTATGCAAGTTTGCAGTCTTTTATTCCTTCAAGCAAGGTCTACAATCCTGGTAGAAACCGGTCTGAGTAAAAAACACACGCTCGGTTTTTTGGCCAAAATAAAATTAAGAAAAATCAAAGTGAGAGTTTTAAATTTTTGACAAGATTTACTCGGATTTCATTGGTTTTTATCGATTTATGCACAATTGCACAGTTCCATGAAATCCAAAGATACCGTTAATGAATGTTTCTAGATTAGGTATCGGGACTGTAAACCCTGCCTATAAGTAGTCTTGGTTATGCTTATGCCAAACTTGTAATCAGCGAGGCCTGTGTCCTTTGTTCAGTGTGATTTGGTCAAGGCACACCACAACAGTGTAGCTGTAGCGAAGCAGTGCCACTAGTAGACGTCCTTCTATGCCTCCTAACAAAACTAAGTAATCTCAATCGGTCCGAAGTTTCACCCGATTGAGATATGGTCGCACTGCCATGGTAGATCGGCATAAAACTAGAGCCCGTCACGGATAACACTTATCTGTGACGGGCCATAGTTGAGCCCCGATGGAGATGAGGGTTCCATATCTCAATCGGAACCTAAAAGTAGCCCGTCACAAATGACAATCATCTGTGACGGGCTCCAACTAAAGTCTCGATTGAGATAAGTTTAATGCCCGTCACAGATGACACTCTTCTTTGACGGGCTTTTATTAAGGCCCGATAGAGATACTTGTATACTCGTCACGGTTGATTGTTTTAGGGCCATTACAGATATTTGTTGCACAGTATAAATACCCCCCACCACCTAGTGTAATTGTATCCCACTATTTACTATTTTGGTGGGAGGCTGTAGGGGGCGATTTTCTGTCTTTTTTCCAAGGAAAACAGAAAATTCCTAAAAGTGATCAAAATGGAGCAATAAAGTGAGTAATATTAATCATTAATTGAGCAATTTCATCACGTCTTATTTTAGCAATACTGATCTTATAAGATGTGCCTGTAATTTTTTTTTTTTTTGCAATTGATCGAAGTTCCGTAAACAAGGAAAAAAAACTGAACAACTCCTTAGTTACGGTTTACTGTTTACCTTACATAAAAAAAACTGCCACTCTTCTCACATATAATTATAATTGAATGGGTTATGTTTCATTTGTATTATTTTCTTAATTCTTACACACAAGTATATTTATACAATTAGACTCATTAAGAATTCATATTCCCAAGGGGCCTCTGAATCTCTTATGTTTACGAAGAAAAATATGGACTGCATGTGTTTGTGATCCCTTTCTTCTCATGGGCTCATACCATCAATCACACACATTCACCTTCATCCTTTTAACTCAACCAAAAAGATCTAAAGCCTCTATTTGAGATTATTGAGCGAATTATTACTACTGATTATCTATTTATAAATTTAATATTTTGACAAATACATTTAACAAGATAGCTCAAACTGCACGGTTTAAGCAATACTATATTTCGAAACGTGGTAGTACAAATAATCCGTTTCAGTAATCCGATCAATAAGCTTACCAAATCATCCTTCTCAAACGGTTCAAGATAAGGGAGGAGGTCCATGGCCGGAGAGAGCAGCTGCTGTACTGATGACGCCAACTGGCAATCAATCAACCAATCACCAGCTTACAATTCGGCCACACATAAACTCGATTCGGACTAAAGACGCCTTGAGAAAAAATCCGCTTTCCTTACTCGTTGGCGCATAAGAGATAAATACGCCTTCTTCCTCGTCTCATAGTAGTATACACAACCAATCATCGCGATCCGCCCTCGCAAACAAAAAGAAAAAAGAAAAAAGAAAAGAAAAACGAAACGAAAGCTTCTTCTTCCTCCTCCCATGGAGTCGCTTGCGTCGCAAGCGAAGCCGGCGGCCGTGCTCTGGCTCGCCGGCTTCCTCCAGGCCGCGCGCCTCCACCGCGTCGTCTCCTTCTGCGCCAGGTTTCGCCCGCTCCCTTCTCTTCTCGCCCCACCCCCACCACTGCTTCCCCATCTCGAATTCTCGATTCTTGGCGCGTCGAGATGGGGGGATTTTGTGGTGGTGGTGGGGGAGTTTTTCCTCCTCCTCTCGATTCGCTGCTCGGTTGCTAACGCTTTTGTCGTGTGTGGATGCAGCTCGAGGCCTCTGTCGGCCAGGATCGCGCAGTGCTTCCTGCTCAACGGGTTCATCTTCCTGGGGAGGTACAGTTTGCTCGTAATTGAGGTTGAAATCTCGGCTAAATTTGTGCTTGTTTTTTTTTCGAAATTTATTATGAAAGGGGGCGGCCAAAATTCAATTTGCGTGAGTGACACAGTAGTTGGGGGTATAATTTTGCCTTGTGAAGCAATTTAGCCTGGGGTTAGCGTGCAATCGGCCCATTGCAGTAAAGACCAAAGAGGCTAGCAAATTAGCGAATCGTATTATATGTCTGAGTCTCTGAGAATGTTTAGCCTGGGATGCTGTAGGGTCTCTGATGGTGTAGACAAATATGCTCTCCGTTTTGGAATTATTCAGGGCAGTAGGGCACAATGAGCACTTGATTTTTGATATTTCTCTTCTCTAGATGAGTCTAAGCGGTCTGTCACTTTGTTTACTCAAGTTCTTCCACCTCGGGATTAGGGGATTTATATGCAATGTCATGATCTTGTTCTCAATATTACTAGCATGGCTGTTTTTCTGTTCCATCTGATTAGTACCCTTTCTAAAATAACTCTTACACTTTATAGCTTGTTAACCCTAAAATCGGTGGTCATTCCAATCCTTTCGTGGATACTGCCTGGGGATTGCAGTCAGTTGCAAGGGCAGCATCTGTGTGATCACACAGTAGCTGTAGCGACCTATTCATTTCTACGCTCTGTTCTTATTCAAATATTCTATGTAAGTTCTTCTCTTTATGCATTGAAATATATTAAGGATACTGATTGTGTTGCTTTTTTTCAAATAAATGTATAATTATTATTTAACTTCTGCTGAGACTAGAAGGTTATCAATTACTCCCTCAGTCCCAAAATATAAGAAGTTTTAGAGTTGGACACGGTTATTAAGAAAGTAGGTAGAAGTGAATGGTGGAGGGTTGTAATTGGATGAGTAGTGGAGGTAGGTGGGAAAAATGAATGGTGGAGGGTTGTGATTGGTTGGGAGGAGAATGTTGGTGGAGAAGTTGTTATATTTTGGGACAAATCCTGAGGGTTAAAAGTTGTTATATTTTGGGACGGAGGGAGTAGAAAATAGCAATTGAATGATACACCATGGTAACTTGTCTTTTCAGTAGTGCACTTAAACTTTAATATTATAACTTCAGTAGGTGGTTGCAGAACTCATGACTTCTGTTACAATGATGGTTAAAAAGGCCGGAAGCCTCAATTATATTTCCCAATGACATCTTGATGCTTTATATGAAAACTCCTAGATGCAAAATAAGAGTAGTTTTTTTCCCCTGATTCCCTGGAAATAACTTGTGTTTTCTGTCAATTTACCTCCCCACCATGACCTTCAGTACTTTATATAGTTTAGTACCTTAATTTATATATTTTCATTATTACATACTTGACAAATAAAAAGGAGAAAATCAAAGTGTTGTATATTTCTGTTAAATGTGGGTTTCTTATAACAGAATATCCTTTTCAGGTATTATGGTTTTATCCACTTTACATCTTCAGCTTCGTGTTGAGTACACTTTGGTACGTTTAGTCTCTGTCCACACTGGATATCTTACTTCCCTTGTTGACCATACTAGTGGTTTACTTTTCCTTTAAAGAGCAAACACATGGTTTGAGTTGATAACAGAATTACCTAGCAGCACTTGATATAGTATATATTTTTATAGTAAGTAAATAGAGAAAGACAGAATGATCATAACAATGGTACTATGCATGTATGAGCCTATCATACCACAATTAAATCAGTGAATTTCTGTTGAACTTTAGTGCTTCTAAATGTCAGTATTACAATATTTGGTTCAGAAGTTACCCATTTTCAATTTGTGGTATGCTCTGGGATTATGAGCTCAAACATAAAATATTTCAGTAAGCCTTCTCAGGGCATTATCATAAATTGCAAAACTTTCTGTTGGATATACGACGACACCCACTTTCTGTTTCTTTTATCACCTCATTGATGGTGTTTTGCATAGTTTCATTTGGTAAAACCCACCTGTCTTGTAAGATGTTACTGCAGAATTAAGAATCACTGAGTAATCAAATCAAAAGTGTTACTGTAATCTTGTATAGACATTTGTATTAGCAACATAGCTTGAAAATATTTAGATGGGTTTGTAACTCCTATATTTTTGCAACATGCAGATGTAATTACTCTCTTTATGCTTTCATTTCTCTAAATCTTAAGTGAGTTCTCTGTGTTGCAGTCCTTGGGTTTCAACACTAAATTGTGATGAATAAAATCTAAACTTCGATTTACTCATAGGCACATATTTACAATTTCTCTATGGAAAGCTCAATTCTTGATTTTTTTTTTCTGCATTGTTACATTATTACAGGTATGGACTATTGTTTTACCATCCTCAAGATTCCCGTATTTCATATACTAAACAGTGGTGGGCCCAATTGTACCTTTTGTAACATTGGCCATCTCACGTCAGGTATAATGACATTGCTAAGCATGCTTTGGATGTTGTGAAAAGAAAGAGCCTAGATGCAACTAAAGCATTGGATGCTCACACCATATCTGAATCAACAGAGAAACCTGAAGGGTTTGATGAGTAGGTTCACATGAAAACTCGTTGATTGCTTGTTGTTTTTACATGTTCTGCATGTTGACATGCTATTGTTAGGGTTGCAATTGGTATTGGAGAACAGGTCTATTCAATTCTTCTTTTAACTATTTTCTTTATTGAGGTATGTTTCTTTGCTCATGTTTTTCCATTTGTCATGACTCACTTCACATCTAATTTCACAGAACATGTTTTGTTGGCACCTCATGCTCATTTAAGCTTATCTAGTGCTATTCTTTTATGCTATCTTTTTCCACTGATATTTAAGTTGATGCTGTACAGGTTTCAGTAATTGGTTACATACCTTACTTTGGGAAGCCTATGAATTTCCTGCTATTATCTTTGATGTATGCCTACTACTGCTTCGAGTATGTACATCTTAATGTCTTTAAGCATTCTTTCAACTCCCTATGTCTTATACATTTGCCAGGTTACGTTATTGTTGTAAATTTATTGAACTATTCTTGTCAGGTACAAGTGGAACTTCTTTGCAGTGAGCCTGAATGAGCGGCTTGATTTCTTTGAGTCAAATTGGGCCTTTTTTGCTGGATTCGGTATGTTGATAATCATTCATTGCATATGGTGCAAAATATATGCTTTTGCCTTCTTAGGCCATGATGCCCTGCCTGTTTCAGCTTTGGACTGTAATGCAAAGTGATTTTGCATTTTAAAGTTTTGATTTTTAAGAATAATTTTAGGTAGATTTTTACTTGTATTCTTAGCAATCTCGAGAAGAGAACTGGACAAAAGTCACAAAGAGAACTCCTAAAATCCTTATGGTTATGCAAATGTAATTGTTGGAAAGTAATCTAAACTATAAACCTTTTTGTTTCTTGTGCATATGTTCTTGGCAAGAAATACATGCATCTCTAATCGTCTTTATGGAAAGTGTTGGTACTTATGGGATCTTAATTCTCTCAACTTGTGGTCATCATGCTTGGCAGTTAGCAGATAAGTCATCTATTGGAAGTAATCCTGTACCAAGCTGAACGTTGAGCATTTTCTTGTAATTTTCATGGACAAATATATCTCGGATAGGTTCTCAGGCAGTCCTAGCTATTTGCGGCATGCATGTTCCTTATAAAGTTTGCAGGATCCTATATAACTGACAGTTGTTGATCTGTTTTGATGTACCTTTATAAATGGCATATGTTACTATGTAATTCTGTTTCTGTACATTCTTCGACTTACTCCGTGTATGCTAGCATTTATGTGATTGACATGTTCTTTGATACCATTTTTATATAGGTAGTCCATGTGTACTTCCAATTTTCTTCTTCTCTCCTCTTACAAGTTATGGTGTAATGGCAATACTTTATCCACTGGTATGGAGAAACACTCACTAGCAGCATTTTTTGTTTCCATTTAAACAGCATGCAGACATACTTGCTCTTGTAAAATAGGCATAGAAGCTAGACATGGAAAATCCCTTAAAAGCACTAACTCATAATGCCATTCCCAATTCTTATTTGGGCCAATTTGTTTGGTTCCATCACAAAAAACACAAGAGTTGGAAAATACCGTCGCACGTGTCATTGACAGGTGGGTCCAGACACCACATGTCAATTGTCATTCTTACATATGATGTTAAATTTTAACTCATTTATCTCTACGATGGTATTTTTCCAAATTCTCTTATTAAAAAGAACTCAATCCGCAATTCTACATCCAGTCCTTTTCTCCACCGAAACTGGTGTGGAAACTGGATGAGAAAAAACAGTATCTTCCTTTGTTCCCTTCCATCTAATAATATTTCCCATCCAACATATTCTGAGTGCAGTTATGCAATGTTGTCTGTTGCAGTTTGTATTGACTGCTGCAGGTACCCAAGCAGAAAAAGTAATTGATCAACTGAAACCTTCGCATGGAGGGAAACTGCAGAGAATACCTGTTTTCTTCATAGCTAAGCGACTAACGTAAGCACTCATCATATCACTCATTCAAGAAAATTGCATTGTTATATCATTCAAGGCTTCACAGGAATCATGCCATTTTCTTGTATAGAATTAGCTACCGGTGCTAATGATGTGAGAATAGTTAATTGCTATTGTTTGATATATTATCTTTTAACCATATCCTTCCAAGTAAAAATTGGTATTGGTTATTTAATTCTTATTTTCATCTTCTTATAGTCTTAATCTGAATTAGAATTCAGTACAGTATGCTGAGTGCTAGTATTCAGAATTTCAGATTAATTTCCTTTTAGGGATTATCACAGTTTTCCTGCACCACTGCTACTTTGCTTCCCTTGGGTGCACTATAATGTATTGAAACTTGTCTGAACCTGTATGTGCAGGACTCAAGTGCTGCAATTGTTTCCAGAGGTACACAAAGAACAATGAAAGGATCCACATAACCATAGCAAAGGAAACAAACGCTGTGCTGGGCTTTATCACAGTGCTGCTGTTGAAGTTACACCCGAAGGGTGTATAACCAGAACTGTAAAACTGTAAATATTCCGCCATTGCGATTGTATATATGGGGATAAAGGGAATTAAAAAAAAAACTATACTTGTGCAATGATGTCATTCATATTTGTGTACATAAGTACATAACAACAGCAACATCTCTTTGTTCTACGAAATGTTATAGCCAGCAGAAAGGTTAATGCCATTACTAGTGCTAACTTCTAAAGTGATTCTCGTTGGTTCTACCCTTGTAGGTTTCTAGGTTCACTTTGTGTATTCGAGATTTGCATGAACGCGTGGCACATTTGACATGAACACAGCCCAAGTCGTTAGGAATTTAAGACGTCAACTAATACTTTGACATATTCATGTATACCTCTTTTTTTTTCCTTTTTGGCAATGATATATTGCGTAATTCAGGACCCGGGAATACGCCGTGTACCTGCTTGACTTGCGTGTACATACTCCATGAAAGCGAGCGTGCGTATTTTGTGTTAACCACTGTAGCTTAAGACTGTTTATCACTAGTACTATTTATTAAGCCGAATTGCCGAATTGACGTGTAAAGGCTAACCATGTTCATTAATTCATGGATTATCTAACCACGTGAGTCGTGACTAGGTCTCACACGAATATTGAGCGCATTTTTTTTTCACATCAGAAATTTCAATTGACCCGAACGATTTCTCTATGTACAAGAGCCAATACCAAGATGTAATATTAATATTAGTATTAGCTTAAAAATATGAACATCATTAGCCTATTTTTTTCATGGAAGCAGCCTTTAAGATTGTATGAGACCGGTTTTGTACTTTTGTAAGGTGCTAGACAAATTTCCATGATTTCATCGGCGCAGCATTATTAGCTGGTAGTTTGTCCTCTTGTAATTCTTTTCTCAGTACATGACCATCCATACCCTCATGTCTTCTCCATTTTGAATTAGCATATTAGCATGCAGTCATGTACACAATAGTACAATACAGCTAGATGTGTACAATGACAATTCTAAATACTAGAGTACTATTACTACTATCATTGCTTAGAAACGACCAAAACAAAGGCAGCTGAACCCCGATCAGCGACTAACTTGCCATCAACAATAATCAACTATATTTTCTCCCCCAATCAAAGCATGCATGGTAGTCTGCTTTCTTCCTGGCAATTTTGTCTGCCATCTTCCTTCAGTTTCTATCATGAATATTATACATAAAGCATTTTCCTACAAATGTGTAAACATTTTTTTATATGAAAATGATTGGATGGTGCAGATGAACTGGACTTTCATGATAATAATTCACATCTCACACAAGGACGAAAAAGTTGGTACTTTATGAGTTACACCTCCGTAAAAAAAATAATACAGAAGGCAACTTAAAAATAATTTATAGGTAATTTTTATATATATTTATATTGTTCGTAGCTTAAAAGCTAGTGTTGAAAAATATACCGCCATATAACAGAAAAAATACTAAAATTAAATTAATGTTTTAAAATTTAAATTTTGGTTGTGGCTGATAAACCACCGAGCATTTGTGTTTTCTTTTAATTAATGCATTCTGTGGCCGGTGATCGGATTGAACAGTCTTTATTTAATGCATCCCCTGTTTCAACTAAGAAGAGTTGGCTGCTATGAGCTGCACCCTAAATTTTGTATGGCAACTGGAGCAGTTCCAATTCTTCCTTGTGGATTTGCACAATTCTCCCATTTCGTGCATGAGTGCCTGTCATCCTTGCACAGCATCATTGCTTGATGTTGTGTTGCCACCTAACTCATTAGCATAAACAAAAGGATGAACAGGAGCTAAGCATCTTACCCACTATAGGAGCATTACTTGATGCCATTGCCATGTACTCCATTACTACACCAATGCAAATACAAAGAACATAAGTACTCAGTTTCATCATGATTACTAAATTTTCTGTGGTGTCTCTGGCCAAAATTTACCGTCAGCTATGATTTGCCAAAATTTGGTACACCCTCTGAATGTTTGCTGTCTCTTTACAAGAACTCTTCTGTGTTACTTAGTGATAGATATTGAGTTTATTGGCATTGTAGGGGATGTAATAATCGTTAATGATTAATCATTATATATGGTTCATATAATACCAGACGAATGAGCATTAATTGGTCGTTATTACGAACCCCTCGAGCTAATCAATATCTCAGATGCAACTTAGATCTCATGATGGATTGGTGGAGCCGAAGCTGCAGTGGATGTAGCTCTCAGCTTCCTGGACCAGTACTACCACTGCCCTTGTGCTGGGTTCACTGATCCTTTTAAGAATGTTGAGCTAGCTAGCTAGTTCATCTTGGCAAGCAACAACTTCATCTTCAATGCACTTGCATTACTTGCATTGTGTTATGATCTCTTGTCTTTTTGGCAAGCTTGTTGGTGCGAAGGTGACCGGCCCTGTCGTCCGGTGCGTGTATCATCACCATTCCATCGAATCCATGTTATGATGTGAAGTCAACTTAGGCAAAAAAATAGGGTCATTTGGACATGCTTATGTTTGATGAGATGTCTTGTTGCAAAGTAGGCCACCTTCATGTCAAGATATATATTTACAGTGTAAATGGCAAGATTCCCAGTATTATGGTAGAGGAAGTTTGCCTCAGATGAACTTGAATGTTACAATGATTTTCGAAGAAATTGTTGGTTTCCCTTTTCGCCGCGTTTGGAACGAGGGAATTTCTTCTGTGTTTTATTGCGGGAATTGAACCTTTTTTCCTATGAAATCTATTCAATACTTTCACCAAGCATTACTCTACAAGAGAGATGCAATCAAATATATGGTAGTACATATTAACAGGCAGACCTTTTTTCCTGTTGGTTGTCAACATTATTGTTTTGATTCCGTCGACCCACAAATTAATCAATTTCTTGCTTTTCTTGAAGACTAAAATTTCTTGCTCATTATGATGCTGGTTGAAAACCCCTGTTTGCGCAACTAACCCATAGCGTATATGTTATCCCAATCGGTGTTAGGATGAGCGTCTACATCCATTACCAAGTAAAAGGATCATTCCCCAATTGGATACAGGTAAAATAAAGGAAATATTACTGACCGAATAATAAGCAATGCAATTAAGCAAATATAATTTCTGTTATAATTCCTGTTACTTTCTTGCAGTGGCACTGCTCATCATCAGTGCAATGGTTGTAGTGCTGTACTAGGCTTGTGTAAAGCGCCGAAATGCAGCTGTGTTCCTCTTCTTCTTTTTCAGACAACAGAAGCTCTGTCTCCTCGCCGTGCCGGTTTGTCCCTCTTTTCCACTCGTGCATGCATGTACTAGAAAAGATGGAATCATGGAACAATATGGTACAATTAATTAAACTTATACTAACTCTTACAATTATTGTGCCTTTTCTATCAAAAAAAGATAGGAGTATATTCAATCTACAGAAAGTTACTGAAAGCCGAATATTATTAGCCTAGAATTCAGCGAAGAAGCTCCACCACGAAACTCCTACATTTATTCGAAATGGCTTTTTTCAAATTTGCCTCGCTTTTGCAGATCAATGATTCGAAGAGGAGAATTTGTCACGAACTTTTCCTTGGGATTTCCCTTTCGTTTCTTTCTTCCAGAGGTCGTACTGGCGATGTGTGCGCGCGTGCGCGCACTCTCCTCTCCTTTCGCTTTGGCTTCCGGGTGATTGTCTCCGCGATACCTACGCTGGCTTTCGGCTATCTCCTCCTCCATTGAAGGTAACAGATTAACCGATCAGTGCGCATTGCACCACGGAAAAACCAAAGGAATCGGAAAAAAAATTCTATGAAAATTCCTTCTTTTTAGCTTCTGCAAAGGGAATGAATTGCAATTAAGAAAGGTTTTTCCTTTTTCTTTGAGATAATGGAATAAAACTTCAGCCTTTACTCAACGAGTTACAGCCAATTATTACATAAATTTACCCGATAACGAGCACACACCAGAAAGTCCATAAAAGCACACCCAAATACTAGCAAACACAAACTAATATGCACCAACACTAGATAAAGATCTCACAATTATTGAATCTTATTTGTGAACCTTCGTTCGAAGTTGACGAAAAACTGCATGATCATTGACTCAAATTAAGAGATGCAGTATTTATTAACTCGATGTTTTCATTACACCTTCTTAGCCATTACATTGCCCTGAAAATTATATGTATATGTATGTTTTTTTAATATGATTTGCCCTAAAAATTAAGAAAGGTTTGGAGTGAGCTAGCTAGAAATCGATCTGTTGATAATTGGTCGATTCGTACAATTTGATTAGGACTTAGGAGTTTTGATGATGCTCTGTGTTGTTGCACAGTGCACTAGTGGAAGCCGGCACAGTGGCGTCTCTGTGACTGGCACGTTGATGACATGGCACCTACTGCGTGTGTGCCATGGCTGCCTTTGATTTGTTTCTGGCCAGTGGTAATCAGTGCATGCGTGGTTGCTTTGGATTGAATATGATGCTTAATTTGGTGTAGAGCAATTAAGCAAGCCTAGTTGACATCTCAGTTGGTGCATGTAATGTACTATAGTACAGTATACTTTCGTGTGCTTAATCAGTACTACGCCTGGCCAGTTGAATTTATTCTGGTTTATGCATGCAAAAAACAAAAACCAAGGGTCCTTGAATTTGAGCACAGAAATGGAATTTTCGCTCTATGACTCCTTCCTTTTGAACCAGGACATGATTTCCAAACTTTTGAACTGCTCAGTTTTTTAAGAACCTTTTTGAGCATTTAATTTTTCCAAGTTTTAAATAGTTAATCCATTCGTTTGCATGCTCAAATATTATCACGAAATCAGATAATGCATCACTCGTTCTAAACAAAAGAATTGAGCATATAGTGGAATTTTCGTACTATTCATGTCAAATATATATAATTTGATGAAATGGCACTGACCCCACAATGTGGAAATTCATGTAAGTAGCACTTTACGGATTTTTCTATGATTGGCATAGTGAAATGACACTATCACACCAACCCCTCGTACGTGGTGTGGTAATGTTAATTCGGTACACCAGTATGCCAATCAGATCGATATCAAAAGTTCACCGCGCTAGTTAGATTAGCGTGGCAAGACAATACTGTTGAAAGATGTTGCAGGTGGCGTGACAATGTTTTTTCATCGTGTCAGAGAAATGCCAAGGGGTTTTTCAGCTAGTTACATAAGATGGTAGGCTAGACAACCTGAGTTCGAAGCCTTACCTCTTCTAATTATTTGATATTAGATCTTTCCCTAATATTCGCGTCTTTTTAAATTGGCGTGATAAAAGATTCAGATGTAAAAATATTTTTTAGGAGTATTTACTTTTAAAACTTAAAAAGTTTTATTAAAATTTCGCAGCTTGCAACACTGATGACCATACAAGTTAGAATCAGCATAAATCGTAATTACGAGATGGTTGGTTGTTAGAGTAGCTGGAACAGATGATTAGATGCAACAATAGGCATGTAATCCGACAAATCAACCGATCATTTGCGACCTTTGCGTCGTAAACAAACGGTGTGAATTGGCCAGGGGTCAATCGGCGGCGGGTTAGTGCGTCCAAATCTCCGTTTATAAAATAGTCATGAGAAAATCATACTGTTTTTCATCCGTATCAACTGATGGTTTCGATCGACCAAAAAAGACAAGAAGTACTGGAGTTTGAAGGACGCTGGAGGGTGCCAACTCTGTTTTACTTGGTTCCGTCGTTACCTCCCCGTGTCTAATCCACATCTAATTTATTGACAAATGTTTTTTTATAGTACATCAAGTTGGTAACTAAAGTTTCCTGGAATTGAAATTGGCTTATGCATGCATATGTTCCATTTGATATGACAAATGCGTTTATTTCTCGTGTCAACTGGTATTTACGTTAAAAGGAGAACTAAATTTTCAGTTGAATATATGGCCTCAGCTCATTGAGATATCCTCTTCTAACTGTAGTTGTTTCTTTCCGTATATTTTGAATTCAGTCCCATCATTTTTTCCTACAGCTGACTATAGGCCGTAACACTTATTAGGGAACAAGAAATAATTTATAGGTAATTTTATATGTGATGTTATTAGTGACTTAAAAGCTAGTGATGAAAAATAAATTACAACAAGAAACATTAAAATCAACTATAAAATTAAATTTTTGGTAGCGGTTGATAAGCTTATAGAGTATTAATCATCATATAAAGTTTTTCATTAGGAACAAGAAAGACTTAACTACCGTATATTTTATTTAATATGAGTATGTGGTAAGAAAGAATCAATAAACATTCTCCATATACACAGGAAACAAGTGTTTAACTACTTCTAAATGCATAGATTACGATAATGTTGCACATCAAAATAAAGGATTAAGGTTATATGATATGATAATCAGTATGGAACGGAGCGAGTAGTATATAATTTGATACCTCATGATAACGGCGTACTAATAATCGGCAAATTTTGCTACAAAACACCACGAACCCACTTTAAAAATATGCCTAATAAAACTGGACACTCTTCATTGGTATACACGCTTGAAAGATTCACATATGTTTACCTATGCTGCGAAGGATTACATTACCATCTCAAGTGACAGATCCTCATACTCCTCTGCTGACGTGTACAGAGCATGCCAGCTCAGCATCCACGTCACGCAACTCCCCGATCCCACGTGGTCACCGCGACCTCTCTACTCGACTACTCCATAAAAACCCAAGCGAACTCACGCCTACGCCTCCAAAACTCCACCCACCCACCCACACCGTCGCCATGCCCACCGACGCCGCCGCCGCCGCCGCCGCCTCGTCGCCGTCGCCGCTCCTTCCTCCGGCGCCACCTTCCGCCGCTCGCCGCCGGCGCCGTCGCCTCCTCACGTCCCCGAACCCCTCGGTCTCCTCGACCTCGACGTCGTCGTCATCGTCGTCGTCGTCGTCGTCGTCGTCCAGCCTCTCCTTCCCGTTCGCTCCCTTCTCGCCGGCGCCCTCGCCGTTCCACCACCGCTTCCTCTCCCCGCTCCGCGCCTCCGCCGTGCCCTTCTCCTGGGAGCACCGCCCAGGCATCCCCAAGACGCCCGCGCGCCAGCACCAGCACCACCGCGGCGGCTGCGGCGGCGGGAAGGTCTACTCCACGCCGCTGCCCCTCCCGCCGTCCCTCCTCTCCAGCAAGGTGGTGGTCGCCGACGAAGACCGCGGCGGCGCCGACCGCCTCGCCGTCTCCGACGACGACGACGACGCGAAGGCCGCGAGGAGGAGGAGTCGGCGGCGGCATAGGCGGAGGCTGCTGCAGCGGCCGCGGCGGCCGGCGGCGCTGGCCGCCGCCCTGACGGACTGGCTCGCCGTGCTGAGCCTGTACCGGTCGTGCACGAGGTCCGTCGACTGCCTCGCCGACGCCGGCCAGCCGCCGACGACGACGACGACGACGCCGGCGGCGAAGGCCGGGTGAGAATTGAGATACGTACTTTGCGTTGCGTGGACGGGTGGGTGCGATTAAGAGTGTGATTTGCGGCGGATTAATCAATAATCACGTCGATTTGTGCGACACTGTAATTAATTAAGGTGGGTTTTCTTTTCTTGTCTGTGTGCATGTGCTTGCTCCAACATAATTAGTGGATGGATTAATTCGACACGATTAGTACAGTAGGCTGCTAAATGACTGTATGTATTAGTGCTGCTGCTGTTGCGATTGGTCCATTTTTCTTCTTTTTCTTCTTCTTTTCCTTTTTAAGAAATGTAATTTGGTCAGTTTGGTCGCTCATGTCATGCTAATAGTAATCCATTCTGCTCAATGTGTGGTGTTGCACGTTTACTATTACTCCAAGCCTGTTTGGAGAAGTTTCTAACCGTTTAAATTTTAACTCAGGTTTTTAGAAGTTGTAGTTGTAGAAGCCAAGAGTTGGGTTTTCCGGCTTCTCCAGATTTTCACCAACTGTTTTTCATAATTTTAAACTCCCCTAATGGGGCCTCTGTTAGTATGGACTGTGGTTAAGGTACATCTGCCACTGGCTGGTGGGTTCACTAAGGGCCTGTTAACTTTGATGCCAAAAAAAACCTTACCAAATTTTAGCAATTTTGACAACTATGCCAAAATTTTGGTAGGATTTCTTACATAGTTATCAAAATTTAGCAGCAAATTAAATGTAGCCACTTTTTTAGCAATTTTACCAATATTTGGTAAGGTTGAAAATGACATCAAAGTGAACAGGCCCTGAATATAATTTTCTCCTCGCACTCTAAAATAAACATTACAATATGTGTTTTTTTACAAAGACATGCATAAAATAATTCACATTTTCTTTGATAATTAAGTTCACATATTGGACCTACCAACATAGATACTGCTTGGTTCTCGTTTTACAATTCTAAACGATTTAAATTTTTAAGTTAGATTTTAAAGAAGAATTATATATGAAGATATTTTACTTGAGCTATGCAATGAAAGTGACAGAAAAAACATCTTAATGTCGTCCGAAATTCAGGTGCTTTGGATTTCGATTATAATATAAAGATTTACCATGCAGGACCTAGAGTTATTCACCAAGGATATATAAAAAAATGTAAATATTTTTTTAATTATCTAACCAAACTATATATATGACCAACAGTTCAGCTGAGATCTCTAGCGAATGGAATAGAAATGTTCCATGCATTTTTTTTTTTCTTCTACATTTGGTCACTGGCTCACTGCTAATTATGCAAGCATTAGTTTAGGTTGGCTGATCAGCACATGCAGTCGGCGGTTTGAAACAGGCTGCAGCTCTGCATAAAAGGATAATTAATTTGTGCAAAAAAATTCCTCCCACGTGCAAATATGTATACTACTTATTTCGTTCGTATTATAAATTGCTTTGACTTTTATAAAGTTAAATTCTTTTGATTAAGTTTATATAAAAATATACTATAAACATTTATAGCACTAAATTAGTTTTATTAAATCTAATATTTAATATATTTTGATAGTCTCTTTTTCTATATTGAAAATATTGTTTTTTTATGAACTTGTCAAAGTTTAAGAATTTTGAAAAAAAAAGATCAAAACAACTTATTGTATGGATTATATAAAACGTGGTACTAGTACCGCAGTATGGGATGTTCCAATGTTTTATAGTTTCCCCTTAACGTGACAATGCACGAATAAGCTTGTTGACTTGACAGCATATTAATCAAATGGATGTCCAAATCTAGTCACCAAACATTCAAAATAATTACAAATAAGCAGTATCATGGCCCGGGTTATAAGCACAATTTACATACACCCTAAATTGCAAATCCTAAAAATACTAGCTCTGTGCCTAGCTATGTAAACTGGTACGGTTCAAAATTAATTTACGGCAAATTATTTTTAAAGAAAAACAATCGTCACCAGTTAAGTTATTTTGAATACATGCGTGCGCACAAAGAATGGAAGGCAAGTAGTAGAGATATTTTGATGAAATTATATTTTGTATAGTTTGACCATGAGAATGTGCTGTACTTCACGCTCGTCTATCGGACTATCGGAGGCTCGGAGCGACCATTTTCAAGGTTCAAATCAAAATCTCCAACAACTCACATGTTTACAATGAACCTTCGACTGTGACCAAAACTGTAATTTAAACCAAAAATATGATAAACCGCAAGACAAAGATAACTAGATAAGCATAAAAATGTTTTTTTTTTGACAAACTCATACAAACAAAAAAAAACTAACCAAATAAACAGTTGTAATAAAACAATACTAAACTTCACAACAATCTTGAATAACCGACAAGTAGAAAAGAAAAGTAGTAGCAAAAAAACAAAACCAGTGTTTTCTACTGTGTCACTAATTTTGTTTTAACCGGACGATTACATACAAACCAAACCTCGTTTTTGTCAAGTACTCATCGCAATCAATTAGTGAGTGCGAGGTTTAAGAAAAAAAAAGGATTAGCCAGTACGATATTAATGTCTCGATCAGACGATCAGCTCACTAATCACTCAGCCTTATGTCACAGAGTATAAAAATGCAAATTATAATAAGCTGCTTCCTTCGTTTAAAAATGTTTGACACCGTTGACTTTTTAGCATATGTTTGACCGTTCGGTTTATTCCAAAAAATTTGTGAAATATGTAAAACTATACGTGTACATAAAAGTATATTTAATAATGAATCAAATGATATGAAAAGAATAAATAATTATTTAAATTTTTTGAATAAGACGAATGATCAAACACGTACTAAAAAGTTAACGGTGTCAAATATTTTGAAACGGAGGGAGTACTACTACCAGCAATTGCAAGATGCACAGTAAACAGGCAAAGCTAGCTGTAGCATTAGCACTAGCAGCAGTGGATGCAGAGACAGCGAGACAGGGCGTTCGTTGGGTCGCGTCCCTCGCTCGTCTTGACCACGAAAGAGCCTTCCATTGGCAGATGCTGCTGGTACAACCGCATGCTAATTGGAGTAATTAAAGTCATCTGCAAGAACTAGCTACTCAGCTGGTTGATGTTGAATTCGAGCTGAATTTCCTATTAAATTCCTGTGAATTTGGTGTTTAACTCCAGCAACAGTGCAGAGCTCGCCTGGTTAGAGCATCCGCAATGGTAAAGTAAGGTGCTCTCTATAAAATATGTATATCTTAGCAATAGACTAGATTAATAGTAAACCACCTCAATAATATGTCTACATGGGTATCTATAGCTCTCTCATGTATTGCCTCGTTTTTCTCTATAGACTATCTCTAAATTAGTAGATAGCTTTGCTCTCTCTCTCTTCATTTAATATCTTCCATGTAGGAAAATATGCTGACATGGATCTCTTGTAGAGAGTCTATAGATAACCATTGTGGGTGCCCTTAGGTTAGGTGATGATGAACATTGGACAGGGCTATGTAGCCATTTGTGCCACTCAAAGTCAAATCGCGATCGGGAAAGTAGGTTAAGGCTATGTTTAGTTCAACACAAAGTTTGAATTTTGGTTGAAATTGAAGATGATGTGACTGAAAAGTTGTGTGTGTATGACAGGTTGATGTGATGGAGAAGGACTGAAGTTTGGATCCAAACTTTGCATCTAAACACAGCCTAAGCAGCATCGGTGCAGGTGTGACACTGTTTCTACCAAATCGCTCTCAGATCTGCGTGAGTAACCAAATTGATCGATCGGCGTCAGATCTGGGCAGATGGACTGATGGATAGCAACCACTCTGACATCATGGTCTTCAGTAATTCAGGGAGTATACTGTACTGTACTTCTGCTGAATTGGATCAATCGGAAGAGGTAACTTGACGCTAAAGCTACTACTACTGCTGATGAGCTACAGCTTCGTCAACCACGCATGCGTTATTTACCTTGGCCGAGGTGAAAGTGAATTCCTCGTTTGACTGTAACAAAGAGTTAATCCTGCTTGGAGTGCAAGGGAATTCATGGCAGAATGCAGATTAATCGATACTACTAGTCACTGATCCAGTAGTCGACACTGGTTTCCAAAAGTCAGCGCAAAGTCTCTCTCTTTCTTTCTCTCTCTCTCGTATTTTGTCCGTTTCATATAAAAAACCTATTATCAAATATGAGATATCTTAATATTATAAATCTGAATAGAAATAGCTTATATTCAGATTCGTAATACCAAGTTAGTAATCCTGAGTTAGTGTAATAGTTTGATTTTCTGGGGACGAAGAGAGCAAGCTAGCAACCCTACATGTGCAATATGCACATGTGCAATCGATCGATGAGTGCTTGTTGCCGTCACGTCGGGCTGTCGCTGATTGATCCATACTATGCCTGTCTGGATAAAAGCTTTTCAACGCAGAACTGTGCATGTGTTTGCAAATGTCATGGGTGAATAATGCTGCCATGTCATTGCCGGGGCTGGGTCCCGGGAAGAACTGCACTGACTGCGTTCTTGCGTTAGTGGCTTCATGCCTGTTTCGCGAAAAAAGAATTTCTAGTTGTCACATTGGATGTTTGACCTGATGTCGGAAGGGATTCTTAGATACGAGTAAAAAAAACTAATTTAATAACTCGTCTGGAAACCGCGAGACGAATCTTTAGAGCCTAATTAAACTGTCATTAGCACATGTGGATTAATGTAGCACTTATGGCTATTATGGACTAATTAGGCTTAAAAGATTTGTCTCGTGATTTCCATGTAAACTGTACAATAGTTTTTTGTTTTTATCTATATTTAATGCTTCATACATGTGTCCAAAGATTCCATGTGACGTTTTGAAAAAAAAATTGGAAACTAAACCAAGCCTCAGATAACAATAAATAGCCAATAATTGGAGGACCTTTTCTCCTGTAAGAGCAGGTGCAATAGCAGATTTTGAACCAGCTATAAACACATTCCGATGAGATAAAAGATGAGAGAGAAGAGTAGCGGGCTATAAATTCTTAGTCAGCTGCAGCATGGACTCCAAGATACATGTGTGTATGATAAGTGGGACCAGATATTAATTGTGTAGTATATATTTATAGGTAACTATTGGCTATTAAGTTGACTATAGATGATTTGGAGCCAGCGATTGGCTATTAAACTTGCTCTAAGAGCAAGTTTAATAGTATAGCCCACTACTGGCTCCAATTTATCTATAGCCAATTCATACAATAGTTGCTTACTATACTATTAATATATGGTCCCACATGTCATACACACATTGCGTCTTGGAGTCCGTGCTATAGCTGGCTATAAATCTGTAGCCCGCTGCTCTTCTCTCTTATCGTTTATCTCATTAAAATATGTTTATAGCTAACTAATAGCCTGCTATTGTACATGCTCTAAGAGCTCTGAAGATAGCCGGGCCCTGTTTAGATGGGACTAAAACTTTT